GCAGGGGGTGAGATTGAACTGGTCTCTTGAGAGAAGGCAGGGGTAACTAGAACCCAGAATGGCTGAGGCTTATGTCCTTGTTCCATCAACTCTGACTCTGAGTATAGATAAGGAGATGGGGCACCATTTTCTTTCTGGCTACTTCCTGCTGATACGGGGTGTTGATGCAGGGCCGGGTATCTATACCCCAGATCAGATTGATTGAAGAGCAGTCTTGTGTTGTTCCTGTGTGATGGCTTGGGATATAGCAGTCACTCCTTCCTGCAAGAACCTTTGGAATTAGTTAATTATCCATGGTGGAAACAGGAGCACTATGATTATGAAGATAAAAGGGGATATCAGAGATTGCCCGTGGTGGAAAAGATGGACGAAATGAGGAGGACAAAGGGGAAAACAGGAAAGCAGGAGTCCTGTCCAGTTAGTGGGAAGACAGGTGTATGCCTGGTTGCCACAGGGACAGAACACTCCCATTTTGTTTCCAAAACTAAAGACAGAGTCATTAGAGAATCTAAGAAAGGTGCTGTGCAAACCAGGAGGGAGTTTTCCCATTGAGAGGCAAACAGAAACTGACAGGAGGGGCTTGAAAATAATCAGGTGGGCATTAAGGCCTGGCCAGGTATATATGAGGTCCAGACCCCTCTCTTCACTGGAAGAGACATCATAAGGGAGGTGTGAACCTCCTTAGGGAAGGCACCCTGTTGACTTCCATTACCTAGCTGGCCTGGGAGGAGAGCTGGCCTGCATAGGCAGTTAGTATTGAATAGGTGGCATCTTTAAAAGAAAGTTTACAGCTCTGCCTTGATTGTTACTGGCCCTAGGCTGTCCTCCTGATGGTGGTGGTTACTTTGGAAGCTGGCAGAGTGAACTGCTTTTTCAGCTTGGGGCCAATAGGATCTGTGGTTCTGACCCTTCAACCCCTAGGGCAGTTCTGTTTTCAGTGGCCTGGCTCTTAGAAGAGCTGACAGCTTCTTGCCCAATGTCCTGGCTCCTCATATCGAAAACAGGTGCCATTTGGGGGTGGACTGGCCTTGTTGGGTCTCCTTGATGACAGATCATTGTGTAAAGCAGCTATTAATTGGCCTGCCACCTATCCCTACATTGCTCCTGCTGCCTCGCTCCTCTTCCTCCTGGTCTCTGTTAAAGTAGAACACACAGGAAGCCTTCAGGAATGTCGGCCAAGGGGTACTCAATTCTGTCCCTAATCTTGGTGGCCTGAGCTAGAAATCTGTGGTCACAGGCATGACAATATTCTTCCTGTGAAACAAGACAATGCCCATGAGGAAAGCTATGTCCTTTTATGTAAGACAAAACATTAAGACCACCTTATCCAAAGTGTCTTATATGAGGTCTAAAGATCAAACATCCTGATGGAGAGTCCTACAGAACAAACTGAGTTTTCCATCTTGAAGAGAATAGAGAAATGAGGGTACAAGTCAGGCTTCCCAGCTAGCTTAATATCAAGTGAAAATTTAGCAACAATTTTAACTGTCAAATAACCTACGAAACATTTACCAAAAAGTCCAATGCCTTCTATGTTTTTAAGAGTACATGTAGTTGGAAATATTTTTTGAGTATCTAACACAAGTGTAAGCCAATTAAAACAGAGCTCTTGCTAAATTTTCCCATGTACACACACAGTGTGTATACATGTATAATACATTACAGGAGAGAGCAACAAAACAGTCTCAGTGATTAGCAAAGAGATTTTGGCTGCCACTACATAAGGCAGGGGGCAAGACAGAAGAAGGCGAGGCATGAACATTCTTTGGAGTGAAGTTGCTCAGGACTTACGGCTGTTCTGGGTTTTTCTACGCTAGCCCCGCCAAATATATTACTGGAGACGGCTGGAATGGAGGTTTCATCTTCGTGTGAGGTGTGGCTCCATTATGTTAGGGTTTAGGAGTTTAGTGTTTGTGGAAGAAGAGGAGGTGGCTGGTTAAAGAAGACTTTATTTTAGGGAAGACAGAATGGGGGTAAGGGGAGAGTAGGGGAGAGAGGGCGGAGTTGGGGTGGGGATGTCGAAGTCAGGCTTCATTGCGTTTGAACAGCAGGCAGAATCCTTTCTGGCTGCCTGTCGGGGAGCTGCAGAGCGCCGCCTGGACCCTGATAAGGTGGGGCGGGGAGATGTGAGAAAGGCTCCTGGGTGACCGGCTTTCAGAGCAATAAACATTGTGTTGCTTTTACTCTGTATTTCAGTGCCCAAGAGGAGAGAGTGGCGGGGGTGGGGGGGTCGGCAAGAGGAGGGAGGCGGTTTCGGCTGCCAGTGAGGAGGAGTGGGGGAGCCAAACAGGCTCTGCTCCTGAGGCGGCAGCACCCCTGAGGGAAGAGCAAGATGAGACAGTCAAGGGTTTGAGAGGAGGCTCCAAGTCTATCTCCTGCCCAAGGGCTTGGAATGAGGAAAGTCAACCTCAGAGGAGGACAAAGCCTGGGATGTGGGGGACCTCTGACCATTTGCTGATTCTCTGTGTAGAGTTATTAAAATCTTAAGAGAAGTTTGAGATGAAAATGCCAAATTAGTATCATTGTCCAATTTATATCAAGGCCAAATTTTAGTGCGGAGATGGATTAATCGCCTCCACTTTATCTCCCACTTCAGGCCCAGCTTGCTGAGTCTTTTTAAGAGGCAGGCCAGAGGGGAGTCAAAATTTGGAACTCATAGATTAAGCAAAATAGGGTCTGAAGGAAGAGGGTCCTTTTACAGGGTGTCCCCCGAGAGAGAATCACCCCAATGGAGAACCTAAGTTCTGAGTCCTCTAAGAGGAGTGAGAAGGAATCCCCACAGTTAGACCAGTGTCCCACTTCTAAGCTGCGATAGATGGGCATTTCCCCTGATCAAAGGAAACCAACCTAACACCCAGGCCCTAGGAGGGGGGATGAACGGGTCACGAGCATTGTCCCAGTGCACTTGAGGTGACGGAGACCTCTCTTACCAATCCAATGGGTTGAGAATTAGGTCCGACGTGGGCATGGAGCGATGAGATCTGGAAAAGGCTCTGGCTGTGAATTTGTTGGGAAACGAGAAATGCAAGCGGGAGTGAGAACATGTTCTGGAGAGGTGTCTCAGCCACCCAGGTCAGAAGGGAGAAACAAGGTTGTAGGAAAGAGAAGGTGAGGGGCGCGCAGAGAGAGTCAAAAGGGGAAGGAGTTCAGAAAGGGGGAAAAAAGTTCAGAGGAGGTGGAGGTCACAGCTCTTACCCAGAGACCAGGTCCTCTGCTCCCCTCCTCACACAGGGCACCAAAATGTAAGGAAAAAGGGGGCACAGAACAGGGAGGAGACAGGGTGCGAACTCGCAGCCAGACCGAATTTAGTCAGAGAAAATAAATCCATAGAGGTTGACCAACTGCTGTCAGGCTCATAGACTGAACACGGGGCAGAGGCAGCAGTCTTAACCACTGAGGCGAATGCCCACCCTCAGAGAGTCCTTTTGAAAAGTGTTCAGCTTGGGAATTCAGACCTTTCGAATGGGAACTGGATTTCTGTAGCAGACCTAATACATGTGCATGAATATACACATGCTGATTGCAGTTAGAGCTAGTGGGAGCAACCATTATTTGCCACATTTTCCAAAGCTGTGTTTAAGAACTAGCTTTTTATTTATTTATTTGAAAGGCAGAGTTAGAGAGACAGAAGGCAAGACAGATCTTCCATTTGCTGGTTCACTCCCCAGATGGCCACAATGGCCAGGGCTGGCCCAGGTGCTTCATCTGGGTCTCCCACATGGGTGTAGGGTCCTTGGGCCATCTTCTACTGCTTTCCCAGACACATTAGCAGGGAGCTGGATGGGAAGTGGAGCAGCTGGGACTTGAACCTGCACCCATATGGGATGCCAGTGTCACAGGCAGAAGCTTAACATGGTATACCACAGTGCTGGCCTCAGCATAGTGTTTTTAAAGTATATTTATCTACATCACTGAACTTTGAAAGGATATCCAACTGACTAATAAAGGCCATGCCAAATAAGCTAGAGCATTAGAACTGAATTAATTGCTTTAGTGCTGTTAAAATCATGAGATAATAAAATAATTTTAAAATTAAGTTGCTAGGTTTTTTTCTTTCTAGGAGTAATTCAAGAAAATGCTTGTGCACACTACTTAGATTATGGTTCAGTGAATTTTCATTTTAAAATTTTTTATGTATTTATTTATTTGAAAAACAGAGTTACAGAGAGAGGTAGAGGCAGAGAGAGAGAGAGAGGTCTTGCATCCGCTGGTTGACTTCCCAAATGGTTGCAATGGCCAGAGCTGAGCTGACTTGAAGCCAGGAGCCAGGAGCTTCTTCCAGGTCTCTCACATGGGTGTAGGGGCCCAAGGAGTTGGGCCATTTTCCACTGCTTTCCCAAGCGCATTAGCAGGTAGCTGAATCAGAAGTGGAGCAGCTGGGGCTCAAATCAGCTCCCATATGGGATGCTGGTGCTGCAGGCCAGGGCTTTAACCCACTGCACCACAGCACCAGCCCCAATGAATATTGTTATGTTGAAACATATACATCAGTGTATTGTGGAGTTGATTTTTTTTAAAAGTAAACTTTTGGCCGGCGCCGCGGCTCACTAGGCTAATCCTCCGCCTTGCGGCGCCAGTACACCGGATTCTAGTCCCGGTTGGGGCGCCGGATTCTGTCCCGGTTGCCCCACTTCCAGGCCAGCTCTCTGCTGTGGCCAGGGAGTGCAGTGGAGGATGGCCCAAGTGCTTGGGCCCTGCACCCCATGGGAGATCAGGAAAAGCACCTGGCTCCTGGCTCCTGCCATCGGATCGGCGCGGTGCCCCGGCCGCAGCGCACCGGCTGCGGCAGCCATTGGAGGGTGAACCAACCGCAAAAGGAAGACCTTTCTCTCTCTCTCTCACTGTCCACTCTGCCTGTCAAAAAAAAAAAAAAAAGTAAACTTCTAAAAAATTGTCATACAAGTTTCCAATATTACCTGTACTCCAAATCAGTAATATATTTTGGGGCAAGCTTCCTGGCTGTTTTTCAAAGGAAGACTAGATTTGTTTTCGTTTTGCAGAAACAGAGATTCTGGAGATGTCACAAAGACACTCAGGCCAAGCCACCACTGGAGCAGGAAATGAGGTGGACTCTCCTACGGTCAGCTTCAGGCACTCAAGCTTCAGAGACTTGTCTTCTACATCTTCATTTCGAGATGGCGGCTACAAGGAGTCCTTCAAACCTTGCTGCTTCAATGACACAGATGAAGAATTTGGGAGGAAGAAGGAGAAAGGCCTAACATTAATCCACGAGCACCCTGCAACTTCAGGCTGGGGCTTAGCCCGTCCGTCAGAGACTCCCGCTCAAAGAAAGAGATGTGTCTTCCCTGCAAAGGAAGGGGATGAGTCCCCAGAACTGTGTGAAACTCCCAAAGTCAGTAGGAAAAAATGTCTGTTGCCCAGACGGTTGCACGTATCCTTCCCTCCCCTACAGGGGGAGTTGGAGTCACAAAGTCATTCTCTAGAGAGTGGCGTCAGCCAGATTCCCCACTTAGGAGACCCTGATCCCGGCAGTGTTTCTGGTCTTCCAAGGCAGAGCAAGCACAGCCCTCTGGCGATCACTAGCACTCTAAAGACAGAGGAAGTGCCGTCCAACAGTCAGAACCTGAGACTAGCTTTTTCTCACCAAAAGACTTCCACAGTCGATGATGCCAAAGATGACTACAGCCTGTTTGAAGTGGACTGCCTATCGCCCATCCAGGGAAACCATTTTAAAGACTCTATCACCTACGACTTCAGCGACAGCAGTTTAAGTGTGGATGAAAATGCTTGTCCTGAGCTGCTGGGCTCCTCCGGCAGTGGAGGCACCTGTGGGACAGATGAGGACATATTTGTGACGCCAATAAGTAATCTCGTGGCCAGCATTAAATTCCACGCAAGTGGCACCCTTTCCCCTTCATCGGAGGTGAGAGGTGACATTTCAACACCCGAAGACAGCGGCTTTAACTCGCTTAGCTTGGACAAGTCAGAAGATTCCCTCTCCGACCAGGAAGGTTCTTTCCAGGAACTACTTCAGAAGCACAGAGGAGCTCTCAAAGCAGGGGACACCGTTCGAAAGTCACGGCGCCTTGGCAGGTCAAGGAGACTGTCCACCCTCCGGGAGCAAGGCTCGCAGTCGGAGACGGAGGAGGAAGGGCAGGGCGTGCGCTCCAGCTCTGAGAGAGCAGCGGCCGCGTCAGACCTCCCCGAGAGTCAGCCGCGCAGTGACCAGAGCGGGGCACTGTCGTCAAGCTTCACGGGTTTATCCAAGACGCCAGCCTTGCAACTAGTGCACGAGCTCTTTATGAAAAGCAAAAGGAAAAGATTCCAGCAGAACGGTGCCCATGAATTCTTAGACGAAAGGGATGGGGGTAAAATAGCTGTTCTGAAGTGCGTTCTTGCAGGACTGATTGGCAAGAAAATGGGTATAGAAAAGCTGGACATCTTAACAGAGTTAAAATATAGAAATTTAAAGCATATTCTTACTATGGTTTTAGATTCCTTGACTGCAGAGAGCCTATGCAGGTAAGAAAAGTTATGAAAAAAAAAACTTTTTTGGGGGGGAGGGAGTTGATGAAAGAGAGGGAGAGGAGAGAGAGAGAGAGAGATCTTCTATCTGCTGGTTCACTCCCTAAATGGCCACAACAGCTTGTCCAGGTCACAGCCAGGAACCTAGAAGTCCGTCCAGGTCTCTCACAGGGTGGGAGGGGCCCAGGTACTTGGTTCATCTTTTGCTGCTTTCCCAGGTGCATTAGCAGGGAGCTGGATGGGACAGAGCTGCTGGGACTAGGACCAGTGCTCCAATATGGGACACCTATGCTGCAGGCAGCAGCTTAGCACACTGCACCACAGCCCCAGTCCCTTTTATCATTTTTTTTAAGTTGTAGAGTTTTTTTTTTCTTCTGTGATTTGACTGATTGTCTTGGTGTATTGTTTGTTTATTCTGCTATTTCTACCTTTGGTTGTCTTAACATGAGGTGAAAAGCAGTTTCACTGGACTTTCTAATGGAGCTTGCTAGTGTGACTTTTTTTTTTTTTCCGTTTAAAAGCACCAATATAATTTTTCCTGGATAAAGATCTTAATCACTGCCATCTGGCCATCTGGGAATAGATTGCCTAAAAGTTGAACTATATATTTTTTAATATTTTATTTATTTATTTAAGAGGTAGAGTCAGAGAGAGAGAGAGAGAGAGAGAGAGAGAGAGAGAGAAAGCTCTTCCATCCGCTGGTTCACTCCCCAAATGGCCATAATGACTGGGGCTGGGCTGATCCGAAGCCTGGAACCAGGAGTTTCTTCTGGATCTCCCATGTGAGTGCAGGGGTCCAAGCACTTGGGCCACCTTCCACTGATTTCCCAGGCTATGCAGAGAGCTGGATCTGAAGAGGAGCAGCCAGGACAGGAACTGGTGCCCATATGGGAAGCCGGCGCTGCAGGCAGAAGCTTAGTCTACTGTGCCACAGCACCGGTCCCAAAAGTTGAACTTTACATTTCCAAGATGGCAAGCTTTATTCCACAGAAATTGTTTAATGATTTATTTAATAGTCCACATCTATTGTCAGCTGCAAATTGTATTAAGGTTATGAAACTTGGCCAGAAATAATGAAAAACATTGTGGTGACTGAGAAATGGCAACATACAAAGGTTAGCACTTAATTATTCAATCAACATTCTAGAGCCCAGGAACAATGGTTAGCTTTCATTTGAGGGTTTGGCCAGAGACCAAGGGAATATGCATGAGTATTATTTCGTTTTGATTGCTAACATGGCAGGGGAAGTTAATTACTTTGGGGAATTTCAAGAAACCGGACACTGAAGAATTTTTATTCACAGATAGTTCAGTAGATTGAATGCTGCTACATAATTAAAGAGAAACTGAAGACATTTAGGAGCAGAGGGTGGGCTGTTGTTAAAAAGACTCAATTGTGATTGTTCATGCTGGCAATTTGGAGGAGCTGCAAGACTACCAGGAGACAAGACCCCTGAGAATGTCATGGCCAGGAAGGAGCGAAGTCAAATGGGACAAGATTTCTGCAATGTGATGGTTGGGGGAGAACGTGGGAGGAGTTAGTGAACCTCTTTCGTGCCAGGTGTACGTCAAGAGTTAGTTCACAGTCTTTGCTCTTCTTGTGGTCACTGCTTCTGCTAAAATCTTTTCTTCTTTTCTCTCCCCACACCCACCCCACATTTAGTAACTGGGGGATATTATACAGAATTGTTGAATTTATAACTGGAAACTTTCTAAAATTTCTCGTCCAATCACTGTGTTTTACAGGTGAAGAAACTAAGATTCAGAGAGGTTAAGTTACCTGCCAGCAACCTCTCAAGAGGATAGGAGTAGATCCAGGGCTACAATTGAGCTCTCTCTCTCTCTCTTTTTTTTTTTTTTTTTTAAGATTTTATTTACTTATTTGAAAGAGTTGCACAGAGAGAGGAGAGGCAGAGAGAGAGAGAGTGAGTTCTTCCATCCGCTGGTTCACTCCCCACTTCGCCAATCCGAAGCCAGGAGCCAGGCAGGAGCTTCTTCCTGGTCTCCCACGTGGGTGCAGAGGCCCCTTCTACTTGGGCCATCTTCTACTGCTTTCCCAGGCCACAGCAGAGAGCTGGATCAGAAGTGGAGCAGCCGGGTCTCCTTCAGGCCATGGCATTAACCCACTGTGTGCTGGCTCCGAGCTCTGTGATTTCTAATCCAGGATTTTCCCACAAGCTCCTATTTATGGTGTAAATTTATGGTGTAAATTTTGGAATAGACTTGTTGGGAATGTATTTCGTGTAACCCAAGTAGGATAATAGACTAGTGCACCCATATGTTTATGCTTTTTAAAAATGATCAAATGATAAATCTTCTGAATACTATAATTGAGATATAGGAATGCTATTTTTATAAGCTTTAGTATTTATATACAGACTGGTTAAAATTAAAAATGTGGGGGCTGGTGCTGTAGCATAGAGGGTAAAGCTGTTGCCTGCAATGCTGGCATCCCATATGGGTACCAGTTCGAGTCCCAGCTGCTCCATTTCCAATTCAGCTCCCTGCTATCGCCTAGGAAAGCAGTAGAAGATGGCTCAAGTCCTTGGGCCCTTGCATCTGTGTGGGAGACCTGGAGGAGGCTCCTGGTTCCTGGCTTCAGATTGGTGCAACCATCTGGGGAGTGAACCAGCAGATAGAAGATCTCTCTCTCTCTCTCTCTCTCTCTCTCTCTCTGCCTCTGCCTCTGTAACACTGCCTTTCAAATAAATAAATAAATAAATCATAAAAATAAATTAAAAAATTAAAAATGTGGGTGCTCACTTATGTGAGCAGTTGAGATTCAGTCATATTCCAGCCTTCCAGACACAGAGTACCCAGAATGCTGGCAGTGCTGTTGGTCGTATGAGGGATGATGGTGAGTTGAAATAGCTAGGGAGAATACTGAATAGAATCAATGCTATAGTTGATCTCTTTCTCATGAATTGACTTTCTGCCTACTCCTTTCCTTCTCTCTGACATAAAGCACACAAGCATCAGCCGAAAGCGAGGCAGTGGCAACAGAAGTGGCCTTCACTGGGAGAGCTTTGGTGCTGACGACTCAATGGTCACCGCCGTACCCGGTCCCTCTGCTCTTCAGTCTTTTCCTGCCCTTATTCCTTTGGAGGAATTTGTTAGAGTATTTGAAAAAGGCTAGATAGCTGTTGAAAGATTACTTTTTTTCTATGTAATTAATATGGTAGACATTATTGATAATTAAGTGATCACTGGATAAAAATTGTGGTTTTTCTTTAGCTGCTTCTTTCTCATACAGTGTGAATAATAAAATAGAAACTTTGTGGTGCTATTATTAACAGTATTCGTTCATTTATTTTAAAAATTTATTTATTTATTTGAAAGGCAGAATGACAGAAAGAGAGAGAGAGGGTTTCCATCTGCTGGTTTGCTCTCCAAATAGCTGCAATAGCCAGGGCTGTGCCAGGCTGAAGCCAGGAGCCCTGATGCCAGCTGGGTCTCCCGTATGGGTGTCTGCGACCCAAGCACTTGTTCTTCATCTGCTGCCTCCCAGGCATGTTAGCAGGAAACAGGCAAATGGGGCTCAACCAGGCACTCCAACATAGGATGTGGGCCTCCCAAACAGTGGTGTAGGCTGCTGCTAACGCCCTGCCCTCGTAATAGTATTTATTTGGCAATTAGGTCTCCTATTGAAGAATTAATTTTGCTTTTATTTATTTGATCAACATTGCAGAGATTTGTTAAATACAAAAAAGGAATAGGAGCATTGTTTTTAAAAATCTCTACAAACGGCCAACACTGCGGCTCAATAGGCTAATCTTCCACCTGCAGCGCCAGCACACAGGGTTCTAGTCCTGGTCAGGGCACCGGATTCTGTCCTGGTTGCTCCTCTTCCAGTCCAGCTCTGCTGTGGCCCAGGAGTACAGTGGAGGATGGCCCAAGTCCTTGGGCCCTGCCCCTGCATGGAAGACCAGGAGAAGCACCTGGCTCCTGGCTTCAGATCAGCGCAGTGCGCAGGCCGCAGCACGCCGGCCGCAGCGGCCATTGGGAGGTGAACCAACGGAAAAGGAAGACCTTTGTCTCTCTCTCTCTCACTGTCCACTCTGCCTGTCAAAAAAAAAAAAAAAAATCTCTACAAGGGCCAGAGCCGTGACATAGTGAATAAAGCTGCTGCCTGCAGTGCCAGCATTCCATATGGGCGCTGGTTCGAGTCCCAGCTGCTCCACTTTCAGTCCAGCTCCCTGCTAATGCACATGGGAAAGCAACAGAGGATGGCCTAAAACCTTGGGCCCTTGCACCCACATGAGAGGCCTGGATGAAGCTCCTGGCTCCTGGCTTTAACCTGGCCCAGTCCTGGCCACTGTGGCCATTTGGAGAGTGAATCAGATGGAAGTCTCTCTCCCTCTTTCTCTCTCTCTGCCTTTCTCTGCAACTTTCATGTAAATAAATCAATCTTGTAAAAAAAAATCTTCTCCACAGATGAGAATTGCTGCATTTCGCATTCTAAATTTTTCATCTTAGTGTCACATTTGAAGTTAAATCCTTTGGACTCATATTGGGTCTAAATGACCATTTATAAAGTAGTCATCTACCAATATCATGCTGAAATATGAATTCTTGGGGCCAGTATTATAGTGTGGCTGGTTAAGTCACTGCCTGCAACAAGGACATTCCATATGGGCAGCTGGTTCAAGTCTTGACTTCCACTTCTGATCCAGCTCCCTGCTAATATGTCTGGGAAAGCAGCAGAAGATGGCCCAAGTATTTGGGTCCCTGCACCCACATGGGAGACCCTGATGAAGTTCCTGGATCCTGCCTTCAGCCTGGCCCAGTCCAGCCATTGAGGTCACTGGGGATGAAACAGCAGGTGAAAGATCTCTATCTCTCTGGGTCTCCCTCTTTCTCCCTGTAACTTTGCCTTTTAAATAAATAAATTAAATAGTTAATAGCAATTCTTTCATCTGCTGAATCAGCATGAAGCAACGATGTTGATTAAGTCATATTTTAGGCAAAATTTAAGTTTACTGTCTAGCCCCTACTGCCTAAACTTTAAAAAATTTTTTTCTTATTAATTACCGTACACAAAAATGCTATTTATCTGAAATATATACAATATAAGGACTGATCCTTTTGTTTTAGTGTTTGGAAAGTCAGCAGAAATTGGCGTGAAATTATTGTTCAAGATAAAAAAGCATACTGGAGGAGGAGATTTTATATCACACAACTGAAAACAGGTTCTGAGGTAATGTATGTAATACTTCTTTGGAATGGATTTGTGTAAATATCTCATCATCCCACATTGCTGGGCAACCTAATTTGGTTTTTCCTGTTATCTTTTAACCTTTTACATTGAGCAAACATTCACTCACAAACTCTTGTTCTAAACTCCATTTCCACCCAGTCTATAAAGTAGAATGGACTACCAAGCGCCTGGAAGATCTTGGCTGGGTTTTATTGCTGTTTAAGTTTATACATTCTTGGCAGCCTCTGGATACCAATGACATGTTGAGTCCTATGCATAATTGGATACTTGTATACCTATTAAAAGTATTTATTTATTTGAGAGGTAGAGAGACAGAGAGAGAGGCCTCTCACCCACTGGTTCACTCTGCAAAGTGTAATGGGAGCCAGGCGCTCAATTCAGGTCTCTCCCATGTGGGTGGGATGCAAGTCCATGAGTTACCACCTGCTATGTCCTAGGGAGTGCATTAATCGGAAGCTAGAATTGGAAGAGGAGCCGAGACTTGAACCCAGGCACTCCAATATGAGATGTGGGCATCCCAAGTGGCCTCTTATCTGCTAGGACAAACGCCTATGCTGGCATTTTCATCCCGGTCTTTTGAGTGGATTCTACATGTGGGTAACTGTGCCAGTTTGTCAGACTGCAATGCATACATTTCTGATGTGATCCCTGCTCCCTGCTCTCCTGGAGCTCATATCCAGGGAGTGACACAAGTAGACAGGTGACGACAATACAGGCGTGGTCGGGGGGAAGCCCAGCATTCTATCGGACATTTCAAAGGAGTGTTGCACTGGGACTTGGGCATCAAGAGAAGTACGTCTCAGCTGGGACCCGAACGATGAGTTGCAGTTAGCCAGGTGAAGAAGACAGGGAACAGCGCTTCAGCCGAGGGAACAGCACACGCACAGGCCTGGAGGTGAGTGAGCACAGCAGGTTACTGCCTGCGGAGCATTGGGAACTTGTGCCCCCAGGGATGCAGCTTTGTGTCACAGGCACCTAATGACCTTGCCCCCCCCACCCAATTTGATGGTAGATTCCACCTTTCGTAGGCACCAGTGCTGATTTCACTACCTTATTCTTGTTGTAGTAAAAAGTACTTAATGACAGTGGAAGTACATTTCTAATATGACTAAGCACAATAGTGCAGGTGACACGGGGCACAAACCAAAGTGACCACCTGGAAACAGGCGGATGGGCTTCTCAGGACAATGGAATGTTAGGGGTGGCCGTTAGTTACAATGCCAAGTTTCCTCTTTACTTTGAAGAAAAGACTTGCCTTCTCACCGCGATGTTGCTCAGGACAACTTACTGCGAGCGCCAGTCTACGCACTGCGGCAGCAGTGGGCTCCGGGAGCTTCTGGCCATGCAGATGATATATTAACCACCTTGTTAATACAGCGTTTCAGAGCTGCCCTACATGCTAGGGACAGAGTTTAAAAACATTTTTAAGCAAGCACCTGTTAATATTTAAACTCTTAGTTCCATATACTTCTTAATGCTCCAAGGAAGAAACATGTGGGTATGTTGGCAACCCCTCAGGCAATTCTAGATAAACTATCCCATCCTCATATCCTAGCCATGATTTAAAAAAAAAAAAAAAAAAAAAAAAAACAAACCTCCTTAAAGGATTATGCTTTTTCCTTGTTTTAACATTATTATTATTATGGCTTGCTTTTTAAAACATTTTTCAGAGTAATACAAAAACATGGCTTAAAAGCTCAAATTGGATTGCAAGGCTTCTAACACAAACCATTCTCTCCCCCATCTCTTCTTATTCTCGGTCCAACAAGGCAATTGCTTTCACCTTTTCGATTGTTGTTTCTTTCCTAATATTTATCTCCATGTTTGTAAATAACATGCTTTTACAGCTATTTTTTTTCTACAGGGGAATTATATTAGTCGTCCAACTTCTCCCTACCACTACTGCTGCCCCTGCTGCCTCCCCAGCCTCCCCAGCCCCATCTCTGTCTCCAGCTCCTATCTCCTGACTTAATACTTACAGCATCTGGGAAGGCCTGCGACTAGCTGCTGACATCGTTAAGACTGTGGCGATCCTCCTGGCTTTGCCGTGGCTGAAACATGCTGTCCACTCTGCTTACATTTTCCTTCCTGGCTAACCTTCCTCCTCTTCCCTCGGAGACAATGATAACTGCCCAAGTTTTTCTCTCGTTTTTCTCAGTGTTTCCTCTGCACCGATCCCCGACTCATCTCCTATTCCCCACCAGAACGGAAAGCCTCCTCTGTGTGAGTGCAAACAGACCATGTGTCCTACCTGTTTCTCCCTAGCCTCAGAGACATTCTTCCGGGGCCCTTTGCCCTGCTATTCTGACATGGACTGGCTGCTTGCCACCCAAACTGGCCTCAGGTATCACTAAACAAAGCAGAGAGCTGTGAAACAAAGTCGTCTAATGATTTTCCTGTCTACATACTGTCACTGAAAGCTCCTGGTTGAGTTCTTCAGTGAATTCATGCCCAACTGTATTTTAATTTCGGAGGCCCAGTATTTGCCTAGTATACTTAGGCACATATTTTAAAACTGCTAATTGTGTAATTTTCATGGCTGGCTAACCTCATTTCTTATATGAGGGTACTTCAAAAATTCATGGAAAATGGAATTAGAAGATAAATTTAGGAGGAAGGTGTTTGGAATGGTGGTTAAGTCACTGCCTAAGACACATCTACATCCCAAATCCGAGTGCCTGGTTCAAGTCCTAGCTCCTGTACTTCTGGTCTGGTTTCTTGCTGATGCACACCATTGGAAGCAGCAGATGTTGTCTCAAGTACTTGGGTCCCTGTCACCCATATGAGAGACCTGGATTGAGGTCTGGGCTCCCGGCTTTGGCCTGGCCTACCCCTAGCTGTTGTGGTCATTTGGGGAGTAAATGAGTAAACAGAAGATCTCTCTCTGTTGCTAAAACAAACAAACAAACAAAAAAAAAAAAGGAAAAATAAGTTCAGGGTTGGGCATTAGGCCTAGTAGTTAAGATACATGCCCCAATCCCCTGTTAAAAAGCTTGAGTTAAGTTCCTGACTCCAGCCTCCTGCTAATACAGTCCCTGGGAGGTACAGTGATGGCTCAGATAATTGGGTTCCTGCACCCATGTGGGGGATCTGGATTGAGTTTCTGATTCTCAGCTCTGGCCATAAGGCAATTGGGTAGCGAACCAGCGGATGGGTGCTCTGTCTGTCTCTGTCTCTCAACTTGCTAACTATACAAATAGAATCGTTTAAAGATTGAAACAATTTTTTTTTTAAAAGTTTGTTTTGGAGCAAAAACATTTGAAATCCATGCCTAATGTTTTCATAATGTGCAATATATGACATTTTTGAAGAACCTTCATGTGCATGGATTTCAAAATTTTTGTACCTAAATTTATCTTTTAATTCAGTTTCCTACAAACCTTTTGCAGTACCCTCATACTTATGCTGCTGTAATTTCCTATGTCTTAGCTCTCCCCACAGTCAGGAGCACTTGTGGCAAAAAGAGACTCTCAAGGGAGAGTAAGCACAACTGTAGGTAGACATGCGAGGAAATTCACCCATAGTGCATTTTTTCCTGACAATTATTTAAGAAGGTCAATTTGTTTTGAAAAAGTCTTTCTTTTTCCCCATTACCAACCTTAAGAGAATAGAAGGCTAAAAGGATATTCTATTGAAAAATTATATATATATATATATATATAAAGATTTATTTGAGAAGTAGAGTTACAGAGAGAGAGGAGAGACAGAGAAAAAGGTCTTCCATTCACTGGTTCACTCCCCAAATGGCCTCAATGGCCATAGTTGGACTGATCTGAAGCCATGAGCCAGGAGCTTCTTCCAGGTCTCCCACGTGGGTGCAGAAGCACTTGGGCCATCTTCTACTGCTTTCCCAGGCCATAGCAGAGAACTGGATTGGAAGAGGAGCAGCTGGGACAGGAATTGGTGCCCATATGGGATGCTTGTGTTGCAGGCCATAGCACCAGCCCTTCTTTATCTTTTTAATTATGTAAATATTTCCTGCTTTATTAAGGTATAATTGATGAAAATCAGATATACTTAAGGTGTGTATAACATGTTGTTCTGATAAACATGTAAATTGTGAGATCATTATCCAGTCAAGATAATTAACATTTCTTTTTTTAAAAAATGTGTTTTTATTTACTTATTTGAAAGGCACAGGGGTGGGGCGGGGGGAGGACTTCCATCCATTGGTTTGCTCCTTAAAATGACTGCAACAACCAGGGCTGGGCCAGGCCCAAGTCAGGAGCCAGGAACTCCATCCTGGTTTCCCACATGGGTGGCAGGGACCCAGGGACTTGGACCATCATCTGCTGCCTTCCCAAGCACATTAGCAGGAAGCTGGATGGCAAACAGAGCACCTGGGACTGGAACAGGCACTGGGATATGAGATGCTGCTGTCACAAGCAGCGGCCTGACCTGCTGTACCACAGTGCCAGCTCCTAATAAACACATTTCTTGACTGAATATTAGTACTGTATGAATGTAGGACAGGTGAGAGGTTTTTTTTTTCTTTTTCCTTTTCAAATAGCAAAGCTGTTCAAATGAATTACCACCAGGTTATTTGCAAAAATAAGCCCAAGGCATTGGGTTTCACCATCTAAGCAATCCCCTAGTTCTCTGACATGTCCATAAGGTGAGAAAGCTTCAAAGAATTCCACGATAGGCTGCAGTAAAGACTCCCCTCTTCTTAGACCCTGCTTTAAGACAGGGGATACAGGCCGGTGCCGCGGCTCACTAGGCTAATCCTCTGCCTTGCAGCGCCGGCACACCGGGTTCTAGTCCCGGTCGGGGCGCCGGAGTCTGTCCTGGTTGCCCCCCTTCCAGGCCAGCTCTCTGCTGTGGCCAGGGAGTGCAGTGGAGGATGGCCCAAGTGCTTGGGCCCTGCACCCCATGGGAGACCAGGAGAAGTACCTGGCTCCTGCCATCGATCAGCGTGGTGCGCCGGCCACGGCGGCCGTTGGAGGGTGAACCAATGGCAAAGGAAGACCACCTTTCTCTCTGTCTCTCTCTCTGTCTCACTGTCCACTCTGCCTGTCAAAAAAAAAAAAAAAAAATAGGGGATACAGACTGCTCTGTGGGCTAGATCCTGTCCATTGCCTATGGGTTTTTAAAAATACACATTTCTGTTTTGAATTGACACATGGCAGTTGTACATATTCATCAGGCACGTTGTGACAGTTCAGTACATGTGTAGGCCCCTTGGATGGTTGTCGTGTTTCTGTGTGTTTTAGGCGCACTCACCATCTCCTACCAGCTGTGCTGAAATACTTTCTTCATTGTTGTCAACCATGGTTATCCTACTGTGCTTTCTAGAACACTGGACGTTACTCCTCCCCTCCAGCTGTGCCCCTGCATCTGTTAACCATCCTCTCTTCATCCCTGGTCCTCCACACACTCCCCAGACCCTGGGAACCACTGCTCTGTGCTCCGCTTCTATAAGATTAACTCCTTAGCTTCCACGTGTAAGTGACATCACGCAGGAATTGTCCTTCTATACCTGACTTACGTAATGTCCTCCAGTTCCATCCAGGTTGCTGCAGACAACAAAATGCCATTCTTTTTCATGACTGAATAGTATTCCACTGTGTGTGTGTGTGTATACATACACTTATTTTTTATTCATTCATGTGTCAATGGTACCTACGTTGATCCCCTTTCTTGCCTAATTTGAATAGTGCAGCAGTAAACAGGCAAGCACAGAAATCTTTTTGATATCATCCATGTTTTTAAAGTAAATTTTATTGGAACACATCCTCACTCCTTATTTTATGCTTTGTCTATAGCTGTTTTCTCTCTAACTGCAAAAGTTGAATAGCGTAGCTATATGGCCTGAAAAATCCAGAACACTTACCTTGGGCCCTTTTCAGGAAAAGTTTGCTGAACCGAGCCTTGAAATAAATGGAGAAATACTGATCATGCAAACGTAAAGCTAGAATTTATAGTTTTAATTTTTTTATTTTTATATTTCTTAGACTTTTTCATGTTTGGTGAGAAAATGTTTTTGGCTTTGTTTTTCTAAAAAGGAATAGTCAAAGGAGAAAATTCTGGTGATATAAAATCGTTTCCACTTCAATCTATGTGCACTGCAAAGCCATTCTGGAATGTTTTGATGTTCCAGTGTTGACTCTCGACTTCTACCACAGGGGGCTGTGTTAAATGTGGAGGATGCTGCCACGCGGCTTCATCTTGTAAACCGCTCAGCTTTAAGATCAGTGCAAGCACAGGCTAGGACTCCCGGTTCTCAGCAAGAGCAAGTTCCAACATTGTCTCCTTGGGGAGAAGTCTTGACACCCATAGCAAGCTCTTCCGTTGTTCACACCAGTAGTAAGCAGGAGGAATATGTTAAGGTGAGTATTTGTCCTAAGTTATCAGAAGTAAACATTGACAGAAATAAAGTGCCTCTACCTGTGAGCCCGGAGCATTTAGTGTGTGTGCTTTTACCGCAGGTTGCCAAAACACTTTTTATTGACGAAGCATTAAAACCTTGCCCACGGTGCCAGTCCCCTGCTAAGTACCAGCCGTATAAGAAAAGGGGGCTGTGTAGCCGCATGGCCTGTGGTTTTGACTTTTGTGTGTTGTGTCTGTGTGCTTATCATGGGTCTGAAGAATGTAGTAGAGGAACAACAAAGGCAAGAAGTAGAAAAGACGCTGTCCCAGGAAGTGCCCAGAGTAAGCGGAATTTAAAACGCCTCTAAAGAGACTAAGTGGAAAAGAAGCACTCCCCCCGATGCATTTCTTACTTGAAATTATGACTATTTTAAACACATGCCAATCCTCCCATTAATAACAGATGATGATTTCCTTCCTGTTTTGTATATATTCTAATCCATGTCATTGTATATTTTAAATCATTAAGTTTTACAATTTTTTTATTTGACTAAATCGTTTTTATTTATTTTAACATCTTGGTATTTTAAATAAAGACTTTTCAGTGTTGTCAAATGTATGTATTTCATTGTTTCATGTAACATGTTGAACTTGTGCATTTCATCATTATGTGCTGAAATGTGTTTCAATCATGAAAATGATATTCTAAATAACATTAAAAATTTTGAGACCTTAGCCTTATGGATTTGGGAGATGAATACTTGACTGAGATTAAGCATAAATAGAATGAATTCATAAGTCCCATTAAAATCACTCCATAATTTCGATCCTTGTCTTCACATATTTGGGTAGACTCCTGGTTAAGTAAAATTTACTTAACATTGAAAACTAAGACGACACAAAAGATAAACTATGTGGCACATGTAGTTATTCCTAATGGGGGTCTTAGTTAATAAGCATAAGTCATACTTTTCAAGTAAGTATTTCAAAAAATAAGTTATTTGTAGGAGACTCAGATGAAGTTCACCTCTCCTGAGTTTTTCCATTATCTTTGCTTAATTTATAGCACAAAGCAGTATTATACATTTATAACAAAAATTTACTAAACATATCTAAAATTTAATCTGTAACATTCTAGATTCAAATAAATTTATTTATTGTGGATTTGTTTTATTTTAGCTCAAAATAAAGGTTTTAAAAGAAGGAAATACACACTATTATTTCTGAATGGAGGCGTGTAAAGACTTCAAAGGTTGCACTCAACATTCCACAAGGGGGCACCAAAGACTCATTTATGGTAGTTTTGGCTTTTCTTCAAAAAAGTAAATTTAGCTTGTACGTGTTTGACCTTGATGTGCTGCGACATTGCCAAAGAGGGGAAATGTTGCTTGACTTAATTTTTAAAGTGTATATGGGATAAAGTTTTGCTAATAGCTATTACTCAGTGCTAATGAAAATACTCCATCTGGCTTGCAAGCATGTACCGTTTTCCCAGATGCCTTCTCACAGAACGCCCTGCGGGCAGGCCCTGGTTGGTACTTGGGCAATCTGTGTTTACTTGGCAGTGGCCCTGCGCTCCTGGCTGCCTCCTCCCGGGCTGCAGAGCCAGGTCAGTTGAAGGAGCCTTGGATTCGTGGCGGTTATGAATGGAGTCATCCTCCCACCGAGGATTTCCCCTGGGCAATTCGGTTCCTGCAGAGAGGCGACACTCTGTTGAAGTCCTAGGCACAGCCTCCTGAGATCACTGTGACTGCCTCCCAGCTGGTTTCCTTGCTTCTCACGTCTCCCCATTTAAATGTTTCCTAGAGATCCACTGCCAGGCTCTTGGTACTACTATGCAGTTCTGACTGCAGTTGCTTCCGAAAAATACATCAGGTTTTAGGATCTCTTAATGGCCCTATCAGTCTCTCTCACCACTCCCCTCTGTATGCTTTGTTACAGCCAAACTATTCTCCTTGCTGTTTTCTAAACTCTGCATGGGATTTCTCCCACTTCCTTCTTCTCTTGCCCTATTAAAGTCCCACAAAATCTAGCTAATCTTGTTTGTTAGCTTGAATCATTTTCTGAACTCTCCAACAAGGCAGAATTTCCACCTTCTCTGGGTCTTGTGTTTGTTTATACCTTCCTTATGGTATCTCTGGCAAGCCTTGGTTTGCATTAAATTCTTATCTTCCACCATGAAGCAAACTCCTAAAGGCAGAACGGTTTTCTTTTTACCTTTTTTTTTTTTTTTTTTTTTTTAAGATTTGTTTATTTGTTTGACAGGCAGAGTTACAGAGAGTCTTCCATCCTATTGTTCATTCCTCAAAATGGCCACAAGGGCCGGAGCTGAGCCTATCCAAAGCCAGGACCCAGGAGCTTCTTCCAGGTCTCCCATGTGGGTGCAGGGGTCCAAGGACTTGGGTCATCTTCCACTTCTTTCCCAGGCCATAGCAGAGAGCTGGATTGGAAGAGGAGCAGCCGGGACTCGAACCAGCACCCACATGGGATGCTGGCCCTGAAGATGATGGCTTTACCTACTATGCCACAGTGCCGACCCCAGAACTGTTTTCTACTAGCTCCTGTAGCACAGGGCCTTGGCACATGATATAATATGCACAATGTGCACGAATGGCTGAAATCATTATTGATTGTCCCCATGAAAACAACTTCTATGCCAGTCTCAGTTTTATTTCCTTTTTCAGCTGGTGGCATAGGGACTTTCAATTACCCTTATCTGTTTTTCAAAGAGCTAACGTGTGGGGGTGTGGGGACACTCCCCCACACACACCCCACCCCAGCACTGTGGTGTAGAAGATTAAGCCACCACCTGCAGTGCCAGCATGCCATATGGATGCCGGTTCGAGTCCTGGCTGCTCTACTTCCAATGCAGCTCCCTGCTAATGCACCTGGGAAAGCAGCAGAAGATGGCCCAAGTCCTTGGGCTCCTGCCACCCATGTGGGAGACTTGGAAGAAGCTCCTGGCTTCAGCCTGGCTCAGCCCTTGCCATTGCAGCCATCTGGGGAGTGAACCAACAGATGGAAGCTCACTCTCTCCCCCTTTCCTTCTCTATGTATCTCTGCCTTTCAAATAAATACAAGTTTTTTTTTTTAAAGCTAAAATGGGGACATCACCCCACTCGTCTGCTCCCCTTTCACTCCTCCATCCCTCCCTACCTCGGCCAATGCTGCTTCTCCCCATAATCACCTCTCTCTCTCTTCCCTCCTCACCTGCTTCCCTGCTGCTTGCCCTTTGTGACTCTGCTCCCGGTCACAGGGGCTATGCCCTCCCTCCCACCTCTGGTGCAGGGCGGCAGCTGGAGGGAGCACCATTGCACGGTGTGGTCACAGCCTTCATCAGAGCTTTTATGGTTTCCTTCCTGGCCAGCTCTGATGTTAGCCTAGGGCCTCAGCACTGAACAAGCAGAAACCTCCCCTGTCATCTCTTCTAACCTTGGTCTGGGTTAAGTGCTCACCTGAACACTGGTGGACAGAGGGCTCCTAGGTCAGCTTTTTATGTGTCTTTGTTGAAAATGAGGAAGTGTCACGAGTAGCCTTTTCTTCTCGGCTGCCACAGAAATGTACACGGCTGCCTCTCTCCTGTATTGACAGAGAGTATGCTTTAGGCTCACGTTCAAGTTACTCGGTAAGGGCTCCTGAATTATTTCCAGAAGGGTGTAGGCATCCCAAGGACTGTTCTTCCTTACCCGCTCTGAGGCTTCCTAGTGTACTGCTTAATCCTGCAGAGATGCTGTCAATGTCGACTGAGGGGCTGTGGAAACCCGAGACAGTGACCTTAATTAAGATACTCACCGTCTCTCCTGGTCAGGCAGGGAATTATGTACCTGGTAAATCTCATCCCTTTATATTAAGAGCAACCCTACAAGGGTAGTGCCATTACTAGCTGCATTTTTAAAAATTTGTCAGATAAGTAAACTAAGAACATAGCCGGGCTTAAAAATATGTTTATTCCACATTAGTGAACTTAAAGCTGGGGTTAAATGTTGGCTGTTGGACCCCAACTATTCTGTCTTGGCTCTCTGCTCATACTGACCGAAATACGGCCCTCACCTATATAAGCCCGACATTCCCACTGCAGCTTCCCACCTTGTTAGAGAATAAACCAAACTGCTGATTGTTTTGACCTCAGATGAGGAAAAAGGAAATTCGTTGTATTGGGCTTTTTTCTTCTTTTCTCTAATCACTGATAACTGATTAAAGAATTTTAAACATTGAGATCTTTTATTTTGACCCATCTAATGTTTTATAATTTTAATAATATAGTCTTCATTTCTTCCTTAAATATTACTCATTTTAAATTCTTTTAAAGACTTATTTATTTGAAGCCGGCGCCGCGGCTCACTAGGCTAATCCTCCGCCTAGCGGCGCCGGCACACCGGGTTCTAGTCCCGGTCGGGGCGCCGGATTCTGTCCCGGTTGCCCCTCTTCCAGGCCAGCTCTCTGCTGTGGCCAGGGAGTGCAGTGGAGGATGGCCCAGGTGCTTGGGCCCTGCACCCCATGGGAGACCAGGAAAAGCACCTGGCTCCTGCCATCGGATCAGCGCAGTGCGCCGGCCGCAGCGCACCGGCCGCGGCGGCCATTGGAGGGTGAACCAACGGCAAAGGAAGACCTTTCTCTCTGTCTCTCTCTCTTACTGTCCACTCTGCCTGTCAAAAAAAAAAAAAAAAAAAAAAAAAAAAAAGATTTATTTGAAAGGCAGAGTTAGAGAGGCAGAGAGAGATCTTCTGTCTTCTGGCTCATTCCCCAAATTGCCACAGTGTTCCATGTTGGTACAGACCAAAGCTAGGGTCTAGAACTCCATCTGGGTCTCCAAGTGGGTACAGGGACCCAAGCACTTGAGTCATCTTCCACTGCCTTCCCAGGAGCATTGATAGGAAGCTGGATCAGAAGCAGCAGCCAGAACTTGAATCTGCACTCATATGGGATGCCTGCTTGCAGGCAGTGGCTTAACCCGCTGTGCCACAACACTGGCCCCTGGTTCATTCATTTAACACACAGTGAATATTTACTGCAAGGTGTCAGGCTTTTTGTAGGTGCTGGGGTTGAGGGATGGACCTCACACACAGAGGATCAAAAACATCCTCTGGGGCTCAAATTCTCTCTTTCTTTCTCTTTTCTTTTCCTTTCTTTTCCTTTCCTTTCCTTTCCTTTCCTTTTCTTTTCTTTTCCTTCCCTTCCCTTCCCTTCCCTTCCCTTCCCTTTCTTTCCCTTCCCTTTCTTTTCCTTTCTTTTCCTTCCCTTTCTTTTCCTTCCCTTTCTTTTCCTTCCCTTTCTTTCCCTTCCCTTCCCTTCCCTTCCCTTCCCTTCCCTTCCCTTCCCTTCCCTTCCCTTCCCTTCCCATCCCATCCCATCCCATCCCATCCCATCTAGAAGCCTTTTATATAAGATATACAAGCTTCATGTATTTCATATTACAGATTTAGGAACACAGTGATTCTTCCTACCCTACCCTCCCTCCCAACTGCACTCCTACCATTTTTCCTCCTCCCTCTCCTATTCTTATTTTTTATAAAGATCTGTTTTCAGTTAAGTTTATACTCATAAGATTAATTGTGCGGTAAGTAAAGAGTTCAACAAATAGTATGAAGGAAAAAAAGAAAAACACTGTTCCTCAACAGTTGAGACAAGGGCTTTTCAAAATCATTGCATCAAAAAGTATCAATTTCACTTCTATTGATTGCCTTTTAGGTACTCTATTAGTTACCACAGATTGGGGAGAACATATGGTATTTGGTTTATTTCACTAAGTATAATGGTTTACAGTTGCATCCATTTTGTTGCAAATGACAGGATTTCATTTTTTTAACCACTGTGTGATATTCCATAGTGTATATATATCATCATTTCTGTGACCAGCGGGTTAACACCTTGGCCTGAAGTGCCAGCATTCCATATGGGTACCAGTTCAAGACCCGGCTGCTCCAATTCCAATCCATCTCTCTGCTGTGGCCTGGGAAAGCAGCAGAAGATGGCCCAAGTCCTTGGGCCCCTGCACCCATGTGGGAGACCCAGAGAAAGCTCCTGGGTCCTGGTTTTGGATTGGTGCAGCTCCAGCCATTGCGGCCAATTGGGGAGTAAACCATCGGATAGAAGACCTCTCTCTCTCTCTCTCTGCCTCTCCTCTCTCTGTGTAACTGTGATTTTCAAATAAATAAATAAATCTTAAAAAAAAAAGAAATGGCCTAATGAATATATTGAACAAATTACCTTCTTTTTAAAATATTTACTTGAAAGGCAGAGTTATACATGCATACACACACACACACACAGAGAGGAAGGGGTGGGGGAGAGAATTATGAACTGTTAGGAGATAGAAAAAATGCTTGTTCCCAGTTGAATGTAATAAGGATGTGGGTAGCTGTTATCTAAAATGGATAAGTTATGTAATTTAACAAAAAGGAATGATAATCAATGAATATCAAAAAGGGAATGGAAATAAACAACATAAATTTGATGATGCGTGTTTCTAAATCTCCTTGCAACACGTGCAGTTATCATCAGGATTGGAATGTGAAGGCTGGTATCAACCAACATTAGATGTTGAGTTACCACCCAGCTCCTAGGAAAAACACCATAATGTACTGTCCTGTCAGACAGAATTCTATGTGTAAAATTTCAAAAAAGTTTCAGTATTTGCAGATAAAGAAAACTCAAAGGAGAAAAAACAGAGGCTATTTATTCAGAGGTTGTCATGGCAAAGGAGTCAACCCATTGCTTAGGTTTCACAGAGATTCGAAGACAGGCAAGTTGAGTGAAAGCTTTAAAGTGGTAGTGGGAGGGGCTAGGAGGGCTTCAGGTGCATTCTGAGTAGAGGGTGTTGGCATGGGAAGCCGGAGGTGGGTTAAAGTACCTAGTGGGCTTACTGTATGATTGGTTCAGGAATGTATTTGGCTTTCTCCAATCGCCCCTGGCTACATTTGGGAAGCCAGCAGCTACTGACCACACTGAACCTATTGTTGCCCAGCCTGTGGCTTGGCATTCATGGCTGGTTGCCTCAGAGGTTATGGGTCAGATTCTTATTATTGTATGTGGCCTGGCTATTTTCTTATTGTTTATTTAGACTTTCAGACATATAATATATATCATTACTATAAAAATTGAACTCACACAATATGAGTTTCATCCTTTGGTACTATTCATGTTCATACTCAGAAAAGTATAAAATATGACTTCAGTTTGGACCCTACCACACAAAATCCAAGGAAGAACTGGTATTTTTAAATCATGAAATGACAGATAAGATCCCTGAAAACATACTCTTGGTTGCCAGGAGATATGTATACAGACACATCCTAGCCAGTCTCTCTGGCAGTCCCTGGAAGATTCACTAAATCCCTGCAACAGGCTACATAGCCCTAATGCCAATTAATCCTTGCAATTCATGAGGTCAGTCCTTTCTTGATGTTTTGGTGTGGGGCTCACATTTGGAACCATGTGGTTTTTGTCTATGTGTAGCAGCTTAACGTGATGTCAATTCTGTATTATCCCACAATTACACTGGCTTCTCATTATATCAAATCTTCAGCTTTTTTTTTCTGGGGAGACTGTTTCAGATGCTCTGCAGGCCTCCCTAAGCTGAATTCTAAGTGTCTAAAAAAGTCATTTGGTAAAGTCATCCCAAAAAAAACCTTCAAATTTGCTATGTGTCCCTAATGAGAAAAGAATAAACAGACACTTAATTCTATTTATGTGGGTGTTTCCCATTAAATCCTTTGGTTGTAAACTATGAGGATACTCTGAAAAGTTTGTGGAAAATGTATTAAAAGATATTATACGAATTAAGTAGTAAAGTTCTTTTGGTGACAAAAATTTTGAAATCCATGCAAGAGTTTTTCATAGCATTCATTCTTCATTAATTTTTTAAAGATTATTTGTACAGATGGATTTCAAAAATGTTTTGCACCAAAATGAACTTATTCTATAAGTTGATTTTTCCATGAGATTTTAAAAGTATCTTTGTATTTTAATTTCAACAATGATAGAGATGGGTTGTGGAAAAAGTTTTTGGGAAAACTGCCTAGGTTTTATCATGGGAGCAGGCAGAAACCAAATATAATTGATAAAAGTAAACAGAATCTAATCATCAGGGAGTTCAAATCCAAACCACAAAGAGACACTACTTCTTACCCCCAAGGAATAGCTATAATGAAAAAGTCAGATGATAAAAGTCAGATGGTAAGTACTGGCCAGCATGTGGGGAAGTCAGAGCCCTGGTTCACTGCTGCTGGGAAGGTAAAGCAGTGCAGCTGATTTGGAAAACAATCTGTTTCTCAAAAAGGGTAAACATGGAGTTCCCATTAGACCCAGCAATTCTACTCCTATGTGGATACCTGCATTAGTTACGTTTTCATTACTTTAGCTAAAATACCTGAGAGGAACTACGTAGGAAGAAATAATGGTTTACTTCAGCTCACAGTTCTGGAGGTTCACAGTCCAAGATTGGGCGGCCTCATTGTGTTAGGCGTCTGGTGAGGGTGGAGATGGTAGAGGAATAATCGCTCGGAGAGTTAGGAAACACTGGGAGACAGGAAGCATGATTGTCCTCCACGTCCATGTGTCTCACTTGATAATGCCATCATGATCTGGTCATGGGGCACCACCATAGCACCTTTTTTTATTTTTAAAGATTTTATTTATTTATTTGAGAGGTAGAGTTTCAGACAATGAGAGGGAGAGACAGAGAGAAAGGTCTTCCATCTGCTGGTTCACTCCCAAATGGCCGTAATGGACAGAGGTGGGCCGATCTGAAGCAGAGAGCTGGATCGGAAGAGGAGCAGCTGGGACTAGAACTAGCACCCATATGGGATGCCAGCACCACAGGTGGAGAATTAATCTACTGTGCCACAGCACCGGCCCCCTCCATAGCAACTTAATCTAACCCAATTACTTCCCAAAAGCTCTACTTCCAGATAACATGTTTGGATCAAGACTCCACCCCTAATCCATCAACCATTAACATCAACCCATTAACCATTAACATAAGACTTTGGGATTTAAAGCTCTACAAGAATTCAGGAAAACAAACCCTGTTCAAAGCATAACAATACCTAAGAGAAATGAAAACATACATGAACACAAAAACTTGTACACAAATGCTCATAAAAGTATTATAACATCCAAAAAATGGAAACTCAAATGTCCATTGATAAATAGACAAAATATGACAAAATATGGTGTAACCATGACAGTGGAATACCGAAATGTGTCATAACACAGATAAACCATAAAAACATGATGCTAAGTGAAAGAAGCCAAACACACGTGGTGTGATTCCATTCAGAAGAAATGTCCAAACTAGGCAATAGGTAGATGAGTGGTTGCTTAGGAACAGATAGATAAGGGGTTGCTTAAGAAATGGGAGTGATGACCTAACGGGTTTGGGGCTTCTCTGAGGAATGAAAATGCTCTAAGCATGATGATAGTGACAGCTGCACAACTCTGAACATGTTAAGAAACCTTGGGTTGTGCACTTTAAGTGGGTGAAATTGTATGATGTTTGGATTCTACCTCAATAAAGTTGTGACCGAAAAACATGACCAAACGTTGGAACAGTTTATAGCCTAGGCCTTCGAGCTCGAGTTACTGTCTTGCTAACTTTCTGTTTTTAAATTTTGTGAGGTTGCTTTTTGGAGAAAACTACCACATGATATCCTGGTCCAAGAGCAAAGGCTTTGGAATCAGATGAACCCAGGTCAACTCGTGGCTTCCAGACTTTGAACTTGTGTGTACTGAGCAAATTTTCTCACCTCTTTAAGTCTCAGTTTCCTAAGTTACAAATTGAATAATATCAATCTCTTTGGGCTTTTATTAGAAGCCTAGAGTGAACAGGTAACAAGTGTTAACTACGATTAATGTTCAAACAAATTACTGATTTCTTATCGGCAAGGCGATCTAAACGAGAGATTAAAAAATCCTATGAGCATAATGTAGAATGATTGCAGTGGACCGCAACGCCAGTTCACTTCAACAGCTGTCGCTCCCCCTCTTCGTGGAGGAACGACACAGAACCCTGCGCTGTTCTTTCGTCTGCTCGGCCCTCCCCGGGTTTGCTGCTGGTTCTTCCCGGGTTGGCTACTATCCCTTCCACCTCCGTGGAAGGGCAGTTCCCCCTGGCCGCATTCCCCACTTCCGCAGGGGAGCGGCACACCACCGGCCGGGTCTCTCGGGGGCTGCACGGGTGTTCCTTCAGCTAGATGTTCCCCATAGATGTTCCCGGTGCATGCCGTCTCTCTCCTCCTTTATAGTCCTCCTCCGCCAATCCCAACTCGGCTGCCCACACGCCGAGTACGCTGCTCTCCAATCAGGAGCAAGTCCTACAGTTAATTGGTTGAACTGGAGGCAGCTGTGCGGAAGCTGTTTTCTCCTCTCCCAGCGCCATATTGTAGGAGAGCAGATGCATAGAATAAGTCTTAATTCCAGTAACAGTCTAGTCCGAGCTGCTCCCCACAGAGGAGAGCAGATGCATAGAATAAGTCTTAATTCCAGTAACAGTCTAGTCCGGTTTGCTCCCCACAAACAGCTACCTACTGAGTGGTGGGTACTCCGTCAGTAGTGGGTGTGTTGGAGAAGAGGGTGGTAAAAAGAAGATACAGCTCCCTTGACTCCCAGCTGTTTACTGGCTGGTGGGCAGTACTGGGTGAACAGGGTACACCTCTTTGAACCAGTGATTTTAACATGAATATGGTTTTCAGATATGGGTTCATACCAAGTATACAGGGACAAGAGGAGAGGCCAATGAAAGGAATTATGGGAAGGGATATTGGAGAAGACACCAAAACTGAATCTTTAAGAATGGGAACATTTAGCCTGATACAGACCAGAAGGGCTTCTCTGAGGTGGAGGAAAAACCCAAGCAAATGCCTGACAAGACCACTTATGTGATGGTACTCAAATGTGTATCTGCCAGATTTCAGGTTCCTATGTCAACTGCATGGTCAAAATCCCCATTGGGATGGCTAGATAACAGGTCCCTTAACCGCTTTCCCTCCAAATCCATGGATAGCAGCCCCAGCCTTCTGGCTAAGCAGGCCTAAAACCCAGGAGTCAGTCTTAACTACTTTGCTTCATTTCTGTATTCACAGTTGGTCAGGAAACCCCCTTGGCTCCACCTGAAGAATCCAGGCAGACTCAGAGCCCTTGTCAAACCTGTGCTGGCTAGTGCGAGCCATCATCAGCTCCTGTCTGATTCCATGCCTACTTGTCCTTCTCATGAAGTCACTTCTCTGTTCACACTCTCCTCCAGCGCACATTTCACTTCCAGTGAAAGCCAGCGCCCTTAGCAGGCCCTACAAACACCTCCACCTTTCTTTACCTCTTGATTGTCTTCTACCGCCCTTCCATAACTGCACTCAGCCCTCTGGCTTGGGCCCATGGAGTGGTTTATTTTGTTTTTGGTCTTGCCTATGCAATACTGAAACAGCAATAAACATACCTAGGCAGGTGTTAGGCTTCACGCACCTGTTGCCATATTCCTTGCTCCTTTAATCATTCACGTACCTGTGGGCCTTTGGCCAGCCTTGGAGTGTTCCCCATACAGGGAGCGAATTTGGACTCACTGAAACATGGAGAACTGATTTGAGAACGCCAGTTAAGAAGGTTTTACAACAGTGCAGGTGGGAGCCTGTTACTAAGGCTCTCTCTGCTGGTGGAGAGAACATTGCAGATTCTAGAAATAGTTGAACACAGAATTGGCAGGACCTAGTGCTTGACTGAATATGGAGTTTGGGGGAGAAGCTTCAGAGGGAAATCTTGCAGGATTCTGGCTTGAGTCACTTGGTAGATGGAGGTGTCCCTTAGAGAACACCAGACTTCCACCAGAAGGTGAGATCTGCAGATGAGGAATGGAGGAGATGCTGAGTCCTTTTGGACTTTTGCATTGGAAGGGCTCAACCAAGACTGGGGTTTTTAGGCTCGGGGGAGAGGAGTGGGCTAGAAATTTGATTTCCCATTTGCCATTCATGTTCATTTTTTTTCTGATCAGAATGACTGTGGTCTTCAAATTCCACTTTTTTTTTTTTTAACTGAAAACTCTTCCATCAAACCTTTTCACACATTAGTTTATCAATTTATCATCTCCTCTTCAACAGACTCCTGGAACCATTTTTAAAGCTTAGATATCTTGACATCGCAGCCGTCTTAACCGACTGGAACGACAGTGTGGGGGGAAGCTCTGGTTCCTAAAACCCACAGTTTTCACTTTTCACATGGCCATCGTTGCCACTGAACTAGATCAAGAGCTGTGTGGACGAGCCCGGCTGGCACTTCTCTCCTCGCTCCTGCTTCTTCAAGATCGGCGCTCGGGCCTCCCAGCCTCTCCCAGCCTCTCCCAGCCTCTCCCAGGCGCTGGCCGGTTCTTTCCTCGCTAGGGGACGTGGCGTTTCCCCAGCATGGCGAGGGCAGGCACGCACGGTGGCCACCGCCGAGCTCTGGTTCCTTCAGGGTTTAACAGGCGGCGGGCTCTACAGGGCGCCCCTCCTGAGGTCAGGGCGGAGCGGGAGGACTGGGGACTGGAGGCGGCGGCGGTGCCCCAGCCTCGGCCCAGGGGGGCCAGGGGCCCTGGGAAGGCGCGTGACCGCCCGGCCCGGCCCGGCCCTGGCCTTGGCCTCAGGCGCCCGCATTGTCTCAGCTCCATAGCAACTCGGGAGAGGCGGGGGCCACGCGAGGCTCCGGCCTCCGTGTCGGCTCCGGGGCGGAGACGGGCCCCGACGGGCGTTGGGCGCGCGGGGTTGCGGCCCTGACGGGCGGCGGCGGCGGCGGCGGCCATGCCCGAGAGGCGGCTCGACGCGGGTAGGTGGGCGGGCCGGGCACTGCGGAGCGCGGCGGCGGCTCCCGCCGGCTGCTGCCGGGCTGGGACGCAGGCCACGGGCGCCTCAGGACTTGAACTCCTGGCCCCCGGCGTCTCCGCTCCCCAACATTCGAAAAACGGGCGTCACTGCCTTGTCGTTGTTTCTCAGGAATTTCGGCTCCCTCCGGACTCCCTTTTGCAGCGGGAATAATGGCCACCTTTCTGTATTGAGGGTACTCCAGGGTCACGAGAACTGAGTGACCAAGCTGGGTTCCAGAGCCCTTTCCTCTCTTCCATCTTGAATTCCCACTTAAAATCCCACCCATGTGCAGAGAACGAAGAGGGCTAGGTGCTGTCTCAAATGATTTCACGTGTGCTAATTGGAATCCAGACTTGAGTGAGATAATGTGATATTTTATCTCGTTTCAGAGCCACCAGCCATTACAGAAGAAAAATTTGTAAGTATGACTTAGATGACTTAGACCGGATACTTTTTTTTTCTTTGCTCATTTTTTTTTTTCTTTTTTTTTTGCTGGAGGAGTACAGTGCTAGCTGTGGGTTGGTGACCATGGTGACAATGTGTACACAAGACCTTTTTTGTTCTTTAACAGGTCCATGTTCAAGAAGGGCCAGTTGATTTGTAGGGTGGATGCTGGTCATGGTTAAGGTTCTTTCGCAGAAATGACCTCATGTAATTTCTCTCAAGCTCTGTAACGTCTCTGTGAGAGGCCGGTTTTATCGCCATGGTTTTACTGGGCTGTGCCGGTGCAGTCCCTGGTCGCGGTAAACATTAGGAGATCGCCTTGGTTGGTAATGAGTGGTCAATTTATAATTCCACTTAAAATGTGCTAAATATTGTGCTTAGCTCACGCTTCTGGAGATGGTGAGCGATATTAAGTACTTTGCCAGATGCATGCGTAGTCATTTCAACATGTGCTGTATGTTCTAGTGTAGTTCCCATGACATATTAAGCAAATGCCCAACGCAGACTGATAGGAAGAAGCAGAGCCTAATTCCTGCTTTAAGGTCGGAGTCCTATTCCAAGAACTCTTTACTTACGTCCCCCAGCACTTATTTCTCTTGTTGGCCAATCATTGTATTTACTTTTGGCTTTTAGTTCAACAGAGGGAGAGGGGGAGAGGGGGGAGAGGGGGAGAGGTGGAGAAGGAGGTATAGGTTGAAGAGGGGTGAGTCAGGTAGAGAAGTACAAGAGGTAAAAACCTGAACTGTTAGTCGGAACACAATTTCGCCTGCGACGTCCTGCTTTTTAGTTTTCAGACCTTTGGTCCACTGCTGAGAGAGGTACACACCACACACACACACGCACGCATGCACGCGCAGGCACACACACACGGTAGAGGTACGGAGGGCGTATTTGAAATTCTCCCCGGTCCGCTGACCCTGTTGGCAGAACTCTGTTTATCGGGAAATTTCCTTAAGCTGCTGCAGGCCTCCCTGAACTGCCCTTCCTTCCAGCAGGAGGTGAGCGTTTCTGGAGCCAGCTAATCCTTTCCCATACAGTTCTGGCACGAGCTGTGTGATGAGCACTCAGCAACACGCTGCTGCATATTTGAGGAGTTTGCTAACCGTCCCAGGCATTTGGCCCCATGCACCAACTCTTAATAGCTTGAAGACTCTATTAGCCACTCCTCCTCCTTTGACACTATTATCTCCCAGTTCTCTCACCCCTCCTGCGTGTTTCCCCCCTTTCTGGCTGTTTTTCCCTTTTTCCCATGAAAGTATTGACTTCGTCAAGATTCTGGTCAACAGGTTTTGTCTGGGGAAAGCTCCTCGTCTGCTCTTGTAGCTTCCGCCGCCCCTGTTTCTTGGGAGCGCCGGGTCAACACACCTGTTTTTGATACCAGCTCTGGGTTATTGGACATCATCTGGATGTCTCTGACTCACTCAGCAGTCTCACCTGAACTCATCCCCCCCTCCCCCAACCACCACCACCTGTTTTGTTTCTTTCTGTTTCTGGTTGATGGTACCACTGGCAGCTCAGTCGCCCGAACCAGAGCCTTTCTTTTATTTGCCTCCCGTCCACCTGAAATCATTTACCGGGTTCCTTTCATAGCCAGATCCTTTCCTGCATCCTCCCAGCTACTGTCTTATTTCAGGCCCTGCATCCCTGGGCTGGACTCTGGCGGTAGTCCTAACTGATATCACCTCCTCCAGTAATTCCTCTGCCAACTCCAATTTTTCCTTTTCTAAAGCATAAAATGCAAACTCCTGTGCATCAGCTGTACTGGATTACTTGCTATTGCTTTGTTCTACGTACCTGTAGATTTTTTTTTTCCTGTGTGCCATTACTCCTGCCCTGGCCCAGTTTTGCTGTTAACCCTAAAAATGACCCTGTTCCTTGATTGCTCAGAACTTTTATTATGAGCTAGTATTTATTGACTGCTGGCTACATGCTGGTATTTAACCTCAAAACTACCCTATTAAGTCATGATTATTACCTGTATTTCACAGTTGAGAAAGGAAGTTTACGGAGGTTAGCTAACTGGGCCTGAGGCTACGCGTTAGTAACCAGCAGAGCCAGAATGCCAAACTCCACACCACACGTCAGCATTCAAAACCTTGTCTCTAACTTTTCAGTCCTCTTTAACCATACCTCCCAGTACGTTCTTCTCTGATAAAGATGGCATTCGTCCTGTTTTTGGTTTATAAAAGTACTTCCACATGCCTTCCATTCCGGCCAAACTGCCCTGTTTGCCTTCCTGCTTTTGCTGGTGAGTTTTGTCTCAGTTGCCTTTCCTCACCTACTTCAGAGTCTTGCACAGTCTTCAGTGCCCAATTCATTGGAGTTGCGCCGATCCGAAGCCAGGAGCTTCTTCCTGGTCTCCCATGGGGTGCAGGGCCCAAGCACTTGGGCCATCCTCCACTGCCCTCCCAGGCCACAGCAGAGAGCTGGACTGGAAGAGGAGCAACCGGGACTAGAACCCGGCGCCCATATGGGATGCTGGCGCTGCAGGTGGAGGATTAACCAAGTGTGCTGCGGCGCTGACCCCTCTAATGTCTCTTGCAGCTAGTCATGTAACCAGATTCTGGCCAATAGGATGCAAGTTGAAGTGTTCTGTCGTACTTCTAGAAAGCTGAGATTTATAGAGACCAAATAACAGACCCTCCCATCACATAGCTAGTAACTATGTTGAGCCATAATTAGAAGCTGGGTTATTCTGACTGTTGCACGGATAAGTATGGAGAGAGAGAAGGCATCCTTTTGGTTCTTTTCTGCTGGCTGGAATAAGGATGTGATGCTGGAGCTGTAGCGGTCAGTTGGATCATGAAGTAGAAGTGGTATTTGAGAAAGATAGTCACACAGGAAAGGGTCCTGTGCTGATTTGGGAGATGTGGGAAGCCACAGCGTTAAGCCTGTACTGCTGATGATCACACGAGAGAAATGAACTTCAGTTTTATTTAAATAGTGCTTTGCTGTTATTGTTGTGCTTCTGTGTTCATAGTGACTTTGTTCATATTGTGTTTTCTCAATCTGTGGATCTAAAAGTACAGTGCTATTATGGACACTTGAAAAATGCTTCCACCTTAACATGAAGTCTTCACCTTCAAAGCATAAAATAGCTCACTTACAATCAAATGTTTGTCGGGGACACACTACTTTGTATATATTTTAACTTTTTATGTGTAAAATTTCATTTCTTAACAAAATTGGGAGCTCTGTAGGGCTAGCCCTGTGGCTCAGCACACCTTACTATTTCCTGCATTGTGGATCACAGTGTCCGGGATATGCCATTTTATTAATATATATTTGTTGATAATTTCATACTTAGTGTTATTTCATTTATTTTTCTGCAAAATTTCCTTTGATGTGTATTTCATGTGTCTTAAGCCCCTGTCTTCTGGTGTTTTTCTCCTATGGTATCTTTGATAATTTTCTTAGAGGAAATATATACAAAAATTAAATATATTCAGTTTTCTTATTAGCTCCTTTAGGTCTGTATATTTTTTTTTTTAATTTTTGACAGGCAGAGTGGACAGTGAGAGAGAGAGACAGAGAGAAAGGTCTTCCTTTGCCGTTGGTTCACCCTCCAATGGCCGCCGTGGCCGGCGCGCTGCGGCCGGCGCACCGCGCTGATCCGATGGCAGGAGCCAGGAGCCAGGTGCTTTTCCTGGTCTCCCATGGGGTGCAGGGCCCAAGTACCTGGGCCATCCTCCACTGCACTCCCTGGCCACAGCAGAGGGCTGGCCTGGAAGAGGAGCAACCGGGACAGAATCCGGCGCCCGGACCGGGACTAGAACCCAGTGTGCCCGTGCCAGCCAGAGTAGATTTATTCTTATAAATAATTCAAATAGTATAGATAAAAGGAATGCTTCTCTTTAGTTATTCAGTTTTGGCATTTCTCATTGCTTTTTTTTTTTTTTAAAGATTTTATTCATTTATTTGAGAGGTAGAGTTACAGACAGAGAGAGGGAGAGACAGAGAGAAAGGTCTTCCATCACTTGGTTCACTCCCCAAGTGGACACAGTGGCCATGGCCAGAGCTGAGCTGATCCGAAGCCAGGAGCTTCTTCCGGGTCTCCCACGTGGGTGCAGGGTCCCAAACACTTGGGCCATTTTCTACTTCTTTCCTAGGCCTTAGCAGAGAGCTGGATTGGAAGAGGTGGCCATTTGGGATGCTGGTGCCAAAGGCAGAGGCTTAGCCTACTACACTACAGTGCCAGCCCCAAGAAGCAGTCTTTTCTTCTGGAAGTATATGAGACATATAGACACAGTTATAGTATGAAGTGATAGGATTTTTTCTAGAGAAACACTGTTCTAGATTTTTGAAGATGAAAAAGGATAGATGAAGGAGAAAAAAAATTTTTTCAGGCAAATCATCAGAATGTGCAACGGTGTGGATTTGTAAAAAAAAACTTGCTGTGACTGGAGCATGGTAGTTTAAAATGAGGCCCAACAGATGGGCAGGAGCCAAACTGCACCCTTCAGAAGGGTGGGAGAGATGAAGGTTGGTGTCTTAC